TATCTATCTATCTATCTATCTATCTATCTATCTATCTATCTATCTATCTATCTATCTACCTATCAACCTGTCATCTATCTCTCTGTCATCAAACTAGCTATCACCTATTTATCTGCCATTTCTCAGGATAATGCAGGTGAATACAGAACCACATAGTCTTGGATACCTGTTCACAAACCTATTCTCCTTTTCTCTGGCCATGTCATTGCAACTTTACTTCCCCAGCCATTTCTCACCCTCAGAGTTTGTCTCAGAGAAGAGGTTCATCATCCATGGGCATCTACATGCAGGACTAACTATCTTCCATTATCACTTGATTCAGAAACTAAGGATTCAGAAACTTGATTCAGAATTTGGAAATGGGAAATTAACTCATGATTCCCCCCCAATAGGTGGTATTGATGTCTTAAATGTGAGTCATTCAAAAACTAAGATCACTATCTTTCTGCACTCTAGGTGGTTAATCCCATCGTTGGAAAAGTTCTGTTGCACGAAGAACAACACTACCCCTCTCTGTCTGTCTTTCTCCATCTCTCTGTCTTCCATCTCTCTCTCTCTCTCTCTCTCTCTCTCTCTCTCTCTCTCTCTGTGTGTGTGTGTGTGTATGTATGTTTTACAGGAATGTCAGTCTTCTTATATTCTAGAAGCAGCATCTCAGCCAGCCAATATTGTCTCACATCTCATAGACATTTTGAGTGGTCAGCTTGGCATTTATGTATGAAAAGATCCTGTTTATAGTTTCCCTAGTCTAGAGAGCTAACCAAATTTATAGGTACACCTGAGTATTTATAATAAATATTGAAGCTTTCAGGAATACACTTCCATTATAGTCAGAGGAGAGATGAGTTTCTTTAATTTGAAACCTACCACGGTTTGGATGCCTGCTCAGAAAATCAGGTTAGTGACAGTAAAACAGCTTTCATTCATGTGTTTCCATAAAAACACCTGTATTGGCTGTCACTTGTAGCTGTATAGGAATAGTCATCTGATTTCTTTATTACTTTTCTAGTGTAGTTGAGGCCATACAGCTACAGATAAAATTGACATTGGTTTATTATAAATTCTTTTCATTTCACTGTTACTCTAGCAAATTTACAGAGCAGTACACTGACTTTAAAAAAATAGAGTAGTTAGTTTTAGAGATACTTATTATTTTAGGATGATAAAGGGACATTACAAAAATATTTGTTATAGATAGGTCACTTTGTCCTGCTAGTATGCTGATCTGACTGTCCCAGCCCGTACCCTGAGCAGACCTCATATGGCTGTGAATAGAATTCCTGATTGAACAGGAACACACCAGCGTGAGAATCATCATCCAGACAATGGGCGTCCATGATTCTGGTGTGAAGGCCGGGCATCTCTGATGTCCTCCAGAAGCCTCTGAAAGAGTTCTTAAGAGCACTGGTGAACTGTGGACCCCTTGGTAGCTCAGCTTGCAGTATTGCTGTGTGCTTATCCTCTGCTGGTTGAGTCATACATGCTGCATGTGGTCTACTTGGCATTTTGTAATTTAGAAAGGAGAGATAAGCTGTTTGGGTGATTTGACACACAGCTAATGCCTTCTTGGGGCTTCTAAGTACTTTGAACAAAGCAGAGATGGGGTGTATTAGCTGAGTGATAAGGAGATGGCACTAACTCTTCCTTTTCTGTATATGTGTATTCATTTTTTCATATTTATATTGAATCAAATATCAGTAGTGTATAACATGTATAACTTAAAAACAAGTCATTGCCTTCATGGATTTACGACTGTGGCAGGAGAGGTAGACTTAATAAAGAAGTGTGTGTGTATATGTGTCTCTGTGTGTGTGTGATTATATAGGCCTCTTGTATATCCCCTTTATTAAGACATATCTTAATAAAACTATATTTATGAATATGTATCATGTTACATACAAATAAAAACAGGCAAGAATCACCAAGATTGGTAGCATGAATCTTGGGAAAGTTTATTTTTTGTTTGTTTGCTTGTTTGTTTGTTTTTAAAGACTTTCTAGGAAAGCCTGAGGAGGTATCTGGGAACAAAACAATGGGAAGTAGACATACAGCTTTCAGAATGTTTTTGACATACAGCAGTGCAAACTGATTTTATGGATCCTAAGTGTAGAAAGAAAGGGGTGGAAGGCAAGAAGAGTAAGGGAAATAAGCTGTGGCCATAAGGAAAGCAGTATTGACTCTGAATTTAAACATCTCAAAGAAAAATAACAGACATCTTCTTTTCCTTGGCGGGGTTCGGGGGGGATGCCTTAAATGAAGTAACTGAGTCAGAAACAATTTGTATATAAGCTCTGGGTAGTTCAGTCCTAGTCAGATTTTCTCCAAGTGACTTGGTCTGTTGAACTTGGTGGGCAACTATGTTCACAAAGAGAAAAATTAGGAGCCAACCATTGGCTCATGAAGCAGCCAGACACTGGTTAATCCCACACATTTCTTTCTAATGAAAGGCACAAGGGTTTATACCTCATTCCTTCCTTACATGGCCTGTCCATCACCAGCTTGTCTTTAGAATGTTTACACAGTTTTGTAACACAAAGGAGGACGTTGCTTACCAAGGATTATGACGATGCTATATTTGATGGCCTTGATTTTTGCCTTTGAGACGAGCCCTCGGTTGTAGCTGCTGCAGAGTTTGCCATCTGCAGATAGAAAAGGGGGATAATAAGATGGGCAAGATGGAGGAACTCTGAAGTTCTGACTTTCAGTCCTGCCCCTGTGCTGCTCCGCTGGGGCAGTCTTAGACTAATATGGGTAAAGGTAGCTGAGAGGAGCTGCTCTATTTGCAAATGCCCAGGGGTGCTCATTCTGAAACTCTGCTCTCTGTAAAAGTCCAACCCACAAGAAACAACAACAACTGAACCTGCAGATAAACTTTAATTATATTCAACTGTCATCTGAAGGCAAAATAATCAAGGGATGAATATGAGAATCTGTGGAGAAGGGCTTTATCATAACAGAAGTCCATGGATTGAAGGATTATCAAATGCTTGTTGAATAAATCAACACATACTTCTTGCAGTCTGGAAGGAGTGATTAAAAACTAAGGCTGGCTAATATCTGCAGAAAGTGCAATATATCTGAATGAAATGACTAAAGAGAAGATTGAGACAATGGCCATAGGATCTCTTGCCTGAAGGAGTTGTTAATCTCAGAACTTCTCATCTTGTAGGACATTAAAACTTGGCACACACTCACTGACTAAACACGGGCAAGATGTTAGCTCCCAGTTTTTACTGGGTGCCATGGAGTTGGAGCTGACCCCAGTAAGCACAACTAGAAAGGCAACCCAGGAAAGAGTTGGCATTTCGCCAGAGAAGCCAACTGCAGACCCCAGCTGTCCTTGCTATTTTGCACTTGAAATTTCTTTTAATCCTTGTTGAAACTGGCCAGAAGTTAACCTGTGTTCTAAACATCGGACTTGTTTCCAATACCATCTAGCCTTGTCCACCAAACAAAGCACATCTGACAATAAATATAGTTGGAATAAAAAGGCTCAGAGAGAGCTCTTTTTCTTGTTTTCTAGAAACCTTCCTTCAAGGGAGAAATATGCCATTCTCCACAACGATAGATGGGATGAGAGAGACAGCACAACCAAGGACAGTGGAGAGAGCCATTTCTTGTCCATTCCGTCCTATTAGATGTGCTGGGGGAGCTGTGAGAGAGGTGTAGAGAACATCATGTAAACTCCAAAAAGGGGAGAGAAAATCCAAAAGGAAGGAGGCAAGGATGGGCATGGGACTGGGTAATGGGAAGCTGTGGCATAGAGCAGGAATGAGGAAGATGTGCTTGTCAGAAGCATAGTGACTTACCTTGCTGAGATGTTGCCTAAGGTTGTGTGGGTATTGGGGCAGAGGGAACCACTGAGGACAAATTAGAAAGACCTGAAATGTCATTGTGAGAACTCTGGCATTTCACCAGATAGCAGCTGCCTGGATACTTACAAGAATTTTTACAATGTGACTATTTCTCCATTGTAAAGATAAGCTATTACTAACGAATGGGCTTTATAGCTACAAAGAACTAAATACTAGCTATGATTATTCTTACATCTTCAGGCTGGGTCTTTAAATTATTCTACATATTTCTCAGAATCATAGCACCTTAGCAGTGTAAGAGGATAAGTTCTCCAAAATTCTTCCACAGCAATGGTTCTTGATTGGCGTGATTTTGCCTTGCAAGGACTTTGGAAATTTCTGAATATATTTTAGGTTGCCACAACTGTCGGCGGGTAGGAGTGGGAATGCTGTTATAGCGAATAGAGGCCAGAGAGTGCTTTTCGACATCTTCTAAGGGCCAGGGTAGGCTGCTGCCATGAACAATTAACAGTTTGCATTTCTGCAGTTGCTAAGTGTGAAGAGCCTCATTTCCAGGGCAGTGTCATGGGAAAGATGCAGGCCTCAGGCGCAGAGGTGAACAAACCCTTCATCTCCACCAATGACTGGATGATTGGGAAAGTTGCCTAAAATTCCCAGCCTTGGTTTCCTAATTTGGAAAATAAAGTGCATCTCACTGAGTTACTGTGAAGATAAAGAGGTATTTCCAGTGTCAAGCTCTGTGCTGACTTGTCAGTCACCTTGCCACTTGGAATAAATTAAGTTTTAACAGTGTTTGGGGATGAGCGTGAGCTCTTGTTGAAAACGAAAACTGACAGAATTACTACCTAGATAGTCTGTTATACAATGGTGTTGCCATAGACAGCAGGAAATTATCAGGGTGAGATTATCTCCACGGGGGCAAGGAAGGATGCTAGGGGATCATATTATGTCCTTTCAAAGTATCCCCACATGCTGGCCCGAGGTAACAGCTGGTCCCTAAACAGTGTGGCTTTGAAAACTTAATTTGTCTTTTAGAAAAGTTTTTGAGAATGACATTTGTGCTCTGAAATCTTTTAAAATGGAAAAATCTCAACACTTTCCACAGGGCGACTAGATGACAATATCATCAACTCCCTGCCCTCTGGATCTCCCAATGAGATCAATGAAAATCTTCTTTAATGCGACCACTCCAGGAAATGCGAAGCTTCCAGCTCCAAAGACCACTCTTCAAAGAGAGCTGAGTTACAGAATGCAGGTAATTCTCCTTTATTGGGAGATAAAAGGATTATTTCTACACAGGACCTGGCACTGAGCTGTACTGAAAGCAGTGAAATTCAGCTGTCACCGGATGAATGGCTTGGGAAGCTGGGAGGCAGCGGCCTCATTAGATCTGAGGCTGGAAAAAAGCACACTTGCTAACACAGCCTTAGTTCCAGCGTGTGACTGTAGTCATGCCAAAGAGTTGATCTCCAAGGGATCAGCTCTGTTTTTTCCACCTTATCAAGAATTCAGGCTCCCTTTGGAGTTGCTAGGATCTCATTACTTCTTATGTGTGTATTTATGTAATTATGTAATTATTGTTGCTGAGAGCAGAACTTGAATGCCATGATGTCTGGGTGAAGGTCAGAGGACATCTTTGTGGAGTTGGTTTTCTCCTTCCGCCTTTACCCAGACTCCGTGAATTTGATTCAGGCATGAATAGGAACCATCTTTATCCACCAAGCCACATGGCTTGGCCCACAATCCCAATCTCCATGCAGCCCCAGCACCTGGATGTGGGCACTGGCCCCTGGAACCTTAAATCATGGTGAATTTCCTTCCTGTTGAATTGGCAGAATCCTCCTAAGAAGCTGGAATGTGTGCAGGTGATTTACTCTGAAACAAGGCTTTCTATCTGGAGATATGTTAAAACAAGTGAGTTTCATGTATTGGAATTTGATGCACTTCAGGTTCATTTCTTTAAAATATGAATATTTTAAACTTTTTGAAACTTATTAATTAATTTTGATCAATAAGAACTTTTTACACACAAATATAACCTAGTTGTCCCTGGAGCTTATCAGTTAAATGTTTATTATTATTATCATCATCATCATCATTATTATTGCATTAAGCATCCTTTGCTCAAGTATGGGATGGGCCATTTCCTTCCCAGAATCCTTCTGGTGCTAATTTTTCTGGCAAACCCAAGAGCACATCTCAGAATGTCAGAATGTCTCCAGATGTTCCTAGGTTACCACTTTCCCGGGCCACCCTGTTGTCCTGAGAAGGTCTGTATCTTGCTGCTGTTCTGGGCCTCCCATGCCATTCCACCTTGCACTCTACTGCCAGCCACCCCACTGGAGAGGCTCTGGCTTAGGTACCATCTGTAAAAGAGCTGCATCCTCTTTAGAATTATCCCCATGAGCTCTCTGAAGATGCCTCTGCCCTTACGTAGCTGCTCTGCTCTCTGCTTCAAGACTCTTGGTCTATATTCAATCCGGTTGTGGATGGGTCAGCAACACTCCCCATTCCTAGGTACCTGTTCTCACCTTCTGCTGTGAAGCTGTGACGTCCCTCTCTGTGCTCTGCTGCCCTCCGGGGCCTGAGCAGAGCTGAAGAAGCTTCCAGCACTTTTGGCATCTAGGACTTCACATCCAGGAGTTTCCCCCTTCATGACCACACTTAAGGAGCACGATTACTTCAGAATCTTCCCACTGACCCCGAACTTACGCAGCCCTTTGAGCTTAAAGTCCTGGGAGAACTTCCTGACCCTTTCTTGTCTTGGGGTGTGCCTGCTCACCCCACTAGCAAGCTTCCTTGTCTGAACCTTCAAGATGAAAAAGAATTCTGAGGCTTTTCTTTAGGAGGTTTTTAATCTCCGTACTAACAGGAGTTAACTGAGGAAGTGTCAGCAAATTTGCTGGTCAGTTGTTTTTTTACTCCACACTCCAGTTCAGGCGAAGAACTTTGGTCCCAAGGGATTCTTGCCCTCTTCTGGCTTTCCTGGTACCAGGCGTGCTCGCAGTGCACATACATACATGCAGGAAAATACTCATAAAATAAAAATACACATGCTTTTCATTGAGAAGGGCTTCACACTGAGGGCAACTTGGGCTTGGCAGGCAGTGTTTACAAACTGAGCTTGTTGTGTTCACACTAATCTTAGTCCATGTACTTTGCCGATGAGCAATAATCCCAGCATGCCAACACCACTGGAGATCACATTACCAGCCAGCTACTGAGCTTCTTGGCTGTTGTGACACATGGGATGTCAAGGAAAGTCCACTGATGAATAAAATACTGACAGGATATGATATTCTAAGAATAGCAGCTGACCTCATTCTGGAAAGAGGTCACAGATGGTGACAAGCTAAACATGGGTGTAATGGAGGCTCAAAATTATATTAAGTGGTGGAAATTGACAGTAGCCATTTCTAATTTAGAAAAAGGCGATGCTATGCATGCTAGTGGACACAACTTCTCTAAGTGGCTTTGTACAGATTCAATACTGGTTGGGAAAGTCCAATGTTGTGACTAGAGAATACAACAGAAGGGGGATATAAGTGGAAAAAGAGAGAGAGAGAGAGAGTCAGTGCTTTCCTACAGTGATGGAGAGGCCTATCAAAGATTACCTCAGATCTCTGGGTAGGTGTGCCTAACTCCCTTTTCTGAGGGGTGAACTCAGGAAAATGAGGAAAGCTTCATCATAGCTCATTGGGTGAGGAGTGCAGGCAGAAGAAAAGCCACTGGGAGTGAGGAAGGGAAGGTGAGAGCTCAGTGGGGTAGGCAGGAAAGGGCACTCCAGCCTTCTGCAATGGGCAGAAGTCAGAAGATGCAGGATTGAAGTCTGGAAGAACAACAGGACCAAATCAAACACTGACCCTTCTAATATAGAACAGACACTTTAGACATCGTCCTGGGAGGCTGCTCCAAGGAAGTGCTATGCATGATATGTTGGCCAAAGACTCTGGGTTTGGAGTTTTACTAAAAACAGGTTTTATTTTATTTATTTCCCAAATTGGAGCTTTTTAGAAGTCATTTATTACTTCTATTTCTCTAATTTTCTTCCTCATGGGAAGTGGCTGGGCTCCGGGGAGAAAGCATGGGCATTCTAACCAGTCACATGCACGTGACTTCTGGTCATGTCTCCACATGCTACATATAGAAACAGCAAGGAGCCTTGCTTTAGCGTCTGTTTTTATCTGCAAAATACAACCTTGCAAGTTGGGCAGGAATCAGAGGGATAACAAATGGAAGGATGTCGGTAGCCAACAGAAGATGCCCTGTCTCTCCCTCTGCCCTGACTATGTCACTGGGATACAGGGCCTGAGATCTGTGCCTGTTTGTGCCCATTGCCTTATAATGCTTCTAGCTGGCAGGAGAACATAGCAGAACCACCTGCATTAAGATGAAGATGTCATGATTCACATTCCTCTTTGAATTCTCCAGGGAAAGAAATGAAGATACTCATGCCTGATAAATCTAGGGATCCTTTTGACCATCTTATAACACATTGGGGGGGGGGAACCTAGTGTGAAAAGCCATGGTCCATGTATGGCTGATGCATATTTAGGGTGACCAAGTCTAAACAGAGATTTAGACAAAATCTAATATATTTAACTCACTGGAGCCCAGGGAGGTCACATGACTTTGTAATGTGGCATAGCTCCCATTGCTAGAGCTGGAGCAGAAGTTAACTTCTTCCGAAGTTTTGTATAATGGTTTGTGGTTCTTGTCTGAGTGCAGATGGTTTCTCTCTCTCTCTCTTTATGTCTCTCTCTGTGTGTTTACAGTATATATGGGTCTAAGTGTGTGAACACTTGTAGATATTTTGTGCATGTGGGCCCGCAGGGTATATGTGTATTCACATAAAGGTTTGGAGGAGCAGGAGACCTAAACAGGGTGGTCTCATTCTACATAACTGCCACATTATAGGAAACCAGTAACCTTTCTTCTTTCTGGTCCACCAGTTTGCTTTGTCTTCTCCAGTGTAAACTAACCAGGCACAGTACTCCTTCCTGGGAATCAGAGGCACATCCATTTCTCAGTGTTGTGTAGTGATGCCATGCAACTAAGTGAAATGGAACTTGGGGAAGGGTCCTAGAGGGCTGTCTCAGTGTCAGTCTTTTTTGGGGGTAGAATGTCAGGGAAAGCATGTAGACTGAGCCATGCCTGACTTAAGACTTAAGATCATCCTGTGGTCATATGCTAGATTCACCCATTTCTAAACTCAAGACAAACAGAGAAGCCCTTCCTCAGGTTTGATAGCAGATGTGTCCTGCTTCCAACGTTCTTCCTGCCTGGCCTACAACTGGGCAACGTCCCATGATACCTCAAAACTGCTGCAAGGGACAATGCTTGTACAGTTTGACAAACTTAAAGTAATACTCTCTTCCTTCTCCCACTTTTTTTTTCTTTTTGCATCTTATTTATTTAACTTTCTGGTGTCCATTCTGTCTTTCTAACATGTAAATTCTCAAGTCCTCAGGCTGGGCAACAAGTGCCCTTACATCCTCAACCATCCCACCAGCCCATTCTTCCCAGTTTTCAGGGAGGCCAAGTAAAAGACAGAGGCCTCTGGACAGATTTTGGGGGTTCTGTTCTGTTGCTAGGTCTTGCGATAACCAAGCAGGCTTGGGGATCCAGGCAGTTCTAGCTCACGCTGCTGGAGGAGCAGTTCTGCAGGAGATAGCTTAGTGGAGAGTTGAGAAATGCAGAGCCTTACCTGAGCAGTTGGAAATCACCGTCTCATGGGCTTTGCTTTTAATCCAAATAGTTCGGACCACAAGGCCATAGATGACGCTGAAGAGAACATAAACATGGCTGATAAGTCCCTGGTGTGAGGATTCAGAAAGCTTACCACTCCCGTTTCTCACTGGGAAAGGTATAGTGGGAAGGGTCTTAACCATCCCTGACAACTATGCTTGCTGACCCTGAAGATACCGTAAGATTGGATTCATGGAGCTGCTGGTGTCTTAAATGAGATGAAAATCTGGAGGAGGTATATAATCCATGTATTCAGAAGTACAGTATTGGTCATAATAGAAATACAACCTTTGGAGGTAAGGATCATCATAGCACATAGCCTATGTGCTATGTGGATTTTAGCTAATTTTTCTGTGTGCATGCATGTGTGTGCGATTGCCTGTGCCTGTGTCTGTGTGTATGGGGAAGTATGTGGAGGCCTGTGGCTGGCGTCAGTAGTCATGCCCTATATTTCTCTTTTACCTTTTCAATGAAGTTTTGTCTCTTAAGCACAGGTTAAGACCAGCCATCTTGCTTTTGAGATCCACCGTCTCTGTCTTCCAAGTTTGAAATTACACAGGAATGTTATGGAAGCTAGAAAAATGTTCACTCTGTAGACCAGGCTGGCTTCAAGCTCATAGTCCTCCTGAATACACTCCCTAAAAACTGGATTAGGGAATAGGCACCATATGTTCTCACTCTAGGGCAGCCTCTATGTCCTTCCCTTGTATTTTTACAGTAGTGTGATCCTGTCTCCTTGAATTCACCAGGGACCTGTTACTTGCCTCACCTATCTTTGCTGTGGTCCCTGAGGTTACACAGAATGGAACAACTATATAAGTTCTTATTTCTAACAGTAGGCTGCCATCAATCCTGAGGCCCCAGGAAATTAGCTATCCAAAAATATGAGAGACCTTGGAAAGACCCATCCCCAGTTGTACTTCTGGTGAACTTCTACCCCTAGTTGGTCCACTGATGATCACCTTACCCAAACACAGACCCAGTTAGGCTTGTCAAGGCTCCAACACAGAGGTACTAAAGATTGGAAATGTACACTTTTCAGTGTACTATGTTTGTGATAACTTGTCACACAGTAATTAATAGCCAACACTCTGAGCCTAAGCTGAGATTCTCTAACACAAAACTCTTGAAAATTTGAGTGCTAAATATAATCATATTTAAAGAGCCAAGCACAGTTGAATATCAGTCAACTTAATAATGGAATTCTCCTTCATGTTTCCCAGTCCCCTCCCTTCAATTTCCCATCATAACACTCTTCTTCCGTGATAAGGTCTGTGCCAGCAGAATGTTAATAACATATACACATCAGAGAATTTTGTATTTCCTATCTCCTTTAATGAACACAAAAATTTCAACTCTTCTCAGTGTTAACTCGACATTTAAAGTTTACCGAACACTTCAACTAAAAACTTGGGTACAAAACACTGCCTTAATTTCTTAACTACATAATTTTTCCTCCTGAGAACTGGTAGTTATAAAGATAAAAAAAAAAAAGAAAAACACACAAAGTTCCAATTTGGAGTAGCTGACAAAGCACTAATAGATTCTAATGAGCTTTAGACTATAACTTAATTAATGACCATGTCAAAATTTTGTTTCTTATTGCTTTTTCCATTCTTGCTCTGGGAGTGCCTCTAAGTGCCCCAGGGAACTTCAGGCCTTGGTAGAGCATTCTCTTTCTTCTCATATTTCACCGAGGGGTTTTCCTGGGTCTATTTTTTTTTAAGGAAAAAAAAATAAGAAAAGTTTAGCAGTGAGCATTTTCTCTACTTGGAACAATTGTTAAATCAGGACTCACTTTCCAGGTAAAGGAGACACAAGGTGTATTAGTTGTTTTTCTAGTTGTTACCAATGGGTTGATAAGAAACAGCTTCAGAGAAGGAGAGAGTTGGGTTCATGATTTAAGGGGAAGAAGACATGGAGACAAGAACAGCTCACAACTATGTCATCAGTTACTGGAGTCTTGCTTGCTCACATTTGGGTAGAGATGGAACAGAAAGTATGTTTGGGCTCTTATCCCCTCCAAGATCTACTTCCTCCAGCTGAGTTTCACCTGTTCAAGGTTCCATACCTCCTAGAAAGCACCAGGAGACAGTAATGCTCCTGGACAATAATAATCCCAGGATCCAAGTCACCAGTAACTCAAATGTTTTTGACGATTAGTGATGTATATGATGGAACAGTTTTGAAAGGTCTTATGAGTTAAAGTCTTGGGCCTCCTTGGCCCTTCTTTTACTTACAGGCAAGTAGAGGGGCACAAAACCAAGCCACCCTTGAGAGTTAGCTGGACAAATGGAACCACTGCGTCTGTATCCTTACCATTTATTGTTCCAGGCAAGCAACAGTCACTCATCAGAAACTCCTTCTTTGCATTTTCTCTTCATTTATCATTTTTTTCCATTTAATTAGTGAGCAGGTGCTGAGGACTGTCCCTTCAAAATGACTGCAGAAGCCACACCTTTCTTTCCATCTTTTCAGTGTTAGTACAAATCTTTGCAATCTCTCTCTTTTGTTTTGAAATTTTGTTTTACTGTGATAAAACATACAAAGATTACATCCTAATCATTCTAATTCAATTGTCCTGTAGGAATAGGTGTAATCAAACTGCTGTACTGCCACCACCTGTCCGTAGAATTTATCATCTTCTCTGATATCTTAGCTTCCGTTCTGGTGCAAAGAAGCGATATCATGACCAAGGCAACTCATAAAATAAAACATTTAACTGGGAGCGTGGTTACAGATCTAGAGGGTTAGTCCATGGTCATGGTTTGAAGCAGACAGGCACAGTGATGGAGCAGAATCTGAGAGCTCTGCATCCTGAACCACAGGCAGCAGAGACACACACACATACACTATGGCCTTGAGTGAGCTTCTGTAGCCTCAAAGCCCACCTCTCAGCCATCCATCTCCTTCAACAAGAACATGCATCCTAATCTTTCCCAAACAGTTCCACTGAGTACAAACATAGGAGCCTATGGAGGCCATTCTCATCCAAACCACCAGATCTGTCAAGCACTGCAGCTATCAAAAGAAAGAAGGTAATGTTCCAGAAATCTGCAATTACCCCTTTGTGGGAGCTATGCTACTCTCCCCAACTTTATTCCCTATGCTCTTGAAACGCACGTACCTTCTACCCTCTTTCTGGATGATATTATAATCTTTGAACGCCTCCATTCTGCTGCTGTATTCAGTGACCATAGCCCATTAGTGACGATGATGGAGGACAGACAGCTGCTCTTTAGCTTAACTGCGGGACCCACCTGAGCAATTCCATTTCGCGAGATTCTATTACTCTCATTGCATCAAATCTCACTATTTTCTCATTTCCTTCCCTCTTCCTGTCTTCTACCACCTCATTGCTTCTTATCATAACTTTGTCCTGAGTTTCTCAGCCAAAAGGAGCAGGACAACCAATTAATATGGATCCTACTTTCCTGAGCAATGGCTCTGGTAAGAATGAGTTCCAGGAATTTTTCATCACTCCTTGTTTTGTGCCTGGGATGTGTTTTCTTTGGTCTGTTTGTAGTCCATGTTCTGTGTGCTGCTTTGCAGTGAAACACTTCTACTTGCCCTGTTCCACTTTCACAGTCAGATTCTCTTCATTGGAACATCTTGTTGGAAAAGCACAGGCTGTGTAGAAGCTCTCTATGGGAGTCCTGTGCTGAAGACCCTGTAGCCTAGAAACAGTCCACGGAAAGGCAGTCTTTGATGCTTTGAATAAAAGTTCTGTCTTAGATTTCGGTAACTTTCTCAGGAGACCTAAGCTTCTTGGAGACATGAAAACTGAACAATTTCTCTTTCTGAGAGCACCTCTGTCCTACAACCATCTAGTTTACTTCCTAAACTTGTAGGAGGCTATCTGATTCAGAGGCAGCTTCAGATCTCAGAATTTCGAGTTGCTAGAACCAGGCTTGCACATCTATCTCTGGAAGATGCCAGGGATAGATCTTATGCCTTCATTGTGGGTCAGAACAGTGCAGAGCAACAGAACACATAGAGTCTGTACATTTAGTATAGTTGATTCTATAGTGAAACAAGAGAAACCCTGGGTTCCCAGAGGAGCAGCAAAGTGAAATCGTTGATTACACTTTTCAAAGTTCGGGCTTGGTTCAAAATATATCATTTGTTTCCAATTGTGCAAATAAATAAAAGCAATAAGGATGTATATATGCTTGTTTATTCACAGGAAAGTCCTGTAATGGCAGACACAGACAAGTACTTGTCAATACTTTTGAGTACGAGGAGTTGGCTGCAGGAAAATCTATACTTTTTTTTATTTATTTCAAACCCATATGTCCTCATGGGAAATGTAAAAGAAATATACCATCTTTTCTATAAAAGGGTTATTTAAGACAAAACTCCATTTAAAAATTATTGTAAAGAAAACACTTGGCAAAAATTTTTTAAAAAAGAAAGAAAAGAGATGGGGCTAATGACACAAAGAATGCACTATAGAGAGACAGACTCAGAAGGCTCACCACAGATTTCTCAAATTTCTCAAGGGTCAGATCTCTCTGAAATCAAAATGTCCAGAGTTTCATTGTGTATCAACTCTACCGTTTCAAGTTAACCAATAGTGTAAGAATGTGAGGCCAAACGCTGACACTGAAAGTGATGCACGAATTTCTCTTTGCATTAGGAATAAAAACCTAGTGGGACCCCCACTGGGTGTGTTTCTCTGCTATATTTGATGTAGCTAAACACTCCGCAGAAATAAAACTTACCTTGCTAAAATCCTTTGGATTATGTGGTCATTGTCCCAATATTTCAGACTTATTTTAACATGTTGAACACTAAATGTGTAGTCTTGTATGTCAGCACTAAGCTGCAGCCCACACCTATGGTATGGAGTGTAAATTTAACAGGGGTAGATAATGAGCCTGAGGCTTTTGTACTAGCCTGGTGAAAGACAGCATTCCAGGGTGGCTTACTTGCCCTTAATTTGGTGTGCAATGAAGGAGAGAATATAACCAGGAGAACCCTTACCACTTATCTCAGGGATGTGGAGTTGGGGAAGGAGTCATGACCCTTATCTC